GGCACAAAGTGGCCACATCAATTTTTGGGTGCCACGTAGTGCATTTTGTAACGGTACCGTGACGGTGCGTTAAAATGTTGGGTTTTTTTATGGATTTTTAAAAATTAAGAGTGTGAATAGGGAGGAAAAATTCTGGAAGGTGTTGACCGCGAAAAAAAAATAAATGGAGGGTGTAAACAGGGGGTTTGGCCTAAAATTAAAAGGTAAGAATTTGTGGCAAGTTAACATGCCGACTGATCATTTCCGTCGATGGAAGGACCAATTTAGTAATGGGAAAATAAAGTATAAGGATTAATTTGGTAATTTTTTAAGTTGGGGAGGAATTTGGTCTAAAACTGAAAGTTGATGGACTAAATGTTGGGCATTTATCCTATTTTAATCTACAAATCTTACAGTCCAACAAAAGTAAATAGTCAATATTTACCCCAAAAAGGAAAAGGTAAATAGTCAATACTTTAACCCTTGACCTTGACTGGTGACGGGGTGTTTCCCACTGCGTCAACTAACCTCGTGAATGGTTTATTTGTATTTTTCTGTTGGAATATGGTTGATTTGTATTGTTACGCCGATGATTAATGCGTTCATATCTATCAATGTTGAAAAAAAAATGGAAAAGAACACTAGAGCATGGGTGATGGGATTTCGCTTTCATTGGTCTTTTTGAACAAAGAACTCCAACCGCTCCTATCTTTTAAAATTTTGTCTACTCAATTTTTTTTGTTTGAATGTATAAAATGTGGTTTAACGTAATATTAATAGAATATTGAGCAGAGTTTTATCATTGGACATACTCTTAAATTTATCTTGATAAAACTAACTTAAAGAGCTGTGGTTTAGGTTTTTTTTTTCAAGTACATCGGAGAGTTACTCTACATAACGAGGGTTAAATCCTTAATCCAAAATCAAAGTTTTTAATTACTGAGTACTAACTTAACCAAACTCTTCTTGGTAAGAGTATTGACCTAATTGGTAAAAAGGTTTGCATTCTACTTGGCTGATTAAGATTCAATTTCCTGAGGAGGTTAATGAGAAAGTAATTCTTCATAAATTTTTAATTAAGTTCTAGTATGAATAACCTATCTTTGACCGAATTAATTAATAGAAATTAATCACAAGATGCAATCAAATTGGTCCGAAAATACACTACTTGATAAAAAAAAATTCCCATAATTAATTAAATTCTTGAAGACTTATTTAATTTGTATACATACACTCATAACAATATACCACAATTATATATGTAATTTTATTGTGAAATTAAATTACATTTGTGTTGCTAAAAAGATGATTATAATCATAATAAGAAAGGCAGTAAATTTAGATTGACAACAATATTATGGTATTCAATTGGTGGATTGAAACAATTGTCTGAAGTATCAAAGTCAACTCTCTCATAGAAAAGAGTAATGGTAAGGGAGCCTACCCTTAACTCTAGAAGCAAAGTTACTAGCTAAACTCTTATAAAGAGCAACATCATCGTAGTAACTTTGGTTCAAACTTGCCCCATTTGGAAACAAAGAAAGGATCAAGAGGAGATGAAAATCTCCAACCTCAAGTACTTAAACTATCTCAATAGAGTCAACTCTAGCTTAAAAAGGGGTAATAATAAAATTCAAGGAGTGCCCCCCCCACTATGATAACAAAGTTGTGAGTCAAACTCCTGAAAGGGAACAATGTAGCCACTAGAGATTTTGGTAGATATTCCTTAAACTATCTCAGTTGATGTACTGTAACAACTAATTGTCCTATTAGAGTCAACTCTTCTCATAAAAGAGAGCAATAACAAAATTCAACGAGCCTCGCTTCAACACTGGTAATAGAGTTGCTAGGAGCAATGTGACTGTAGGGAACCTTTTGCTCCGGATGTTCACCTCTTTGAAGGTGAAGACCAAGAAGAAGAGAAATCTCCAGCCTGAGTTCCAAAGGGGCGCAAATTTGGAGTACCAACAATATATTGTGTGGTTCTAGGCTAACGTGAATTCGGGTCTGAATCCGTTTAGGAGGAGGCTGCAGTTTAATATCAATTTAAATTGCAGATCAAGTTGACTAAACCAGCACCAAGTCAACATACATAACATCTTAAAAATAATCATCCACTAATATATTAGCAAGGAGAGAGAAAAAAACCACCGATTTATTAGTCATAATAAAAGGAATTCAGTTTCTTTTAATTTAAGTTTCAAATTTGAATTTTATGAATAAAAGATAGATGATAGGAGAGTTTTCTCCTTATATGGGAGTCAACTCAATTTAACTTTAAATTTGGAATACTAAGGGTATATAGTATAATAAAAACAAGGAGGAAAAAAAAATAATAAACCAAAGGAAGAACTGTTTTTGGGCTAAGACCGCTTCTAGTTTTAAAATGGGTAGAGTAAAATAAAAATATAGCATCAACTATCAAATTCAAAAGGGCCCAAACCACATTACGTAGTATGTTCTATGTTACAAAGCCCATTTTGACGACGAAGCTTCATATTAAAATTGAAACTCGACCAAGGTTCAAGCCCAAGCCCAAGGTAGCGCCTGTCGCCCTTTTCCAAATTCTTCATTACCATTTCGGAGGAGTTAGGTCCCCTTCGGCTTTGTGAAGTATCTAAATTACGTATACTGCATTAGAATTAATTTTTTGATCAACTGAAGGAATTTAAGCTTTGTTTGGTGGCGCAGGTATTAACTGATTGTTGATATTGATAATTGAAATTTTATAGTTGACATATGTAGTTTAAAATCAACTTATTAAAATATATATCTAAAGGTTCTATTCAGCTGTTTAAGAGGAAAAAGTAATAAATTAATAATATGAGCCAAACCGAATACATTGTTAGTGGCTTTGGTGCGCGAGGGGAGAGAGATGGGTTCCAATGGAATTCAACCATGGTAAAGTGAGTAAAACGCCCACTCTAGGGTCAAGGATTTTCATAAAATGGTGAAAAGAGGAGTAACATTTCTGTGGTAGGCAGTTTCTGGCTAGCGGATAGTTATTTCTTATCTTTTATTTTAGTTTTTTTTTTTTTTTTTTAATGGTTATTTTAATAAGAATATAGAGATGAAGGAAGACTAGGGATTCTTCATATACCTAAAGAGTATGCTTTTTCTCAAGCTGTTGTCAGTTTGCACTTATATATTGGAGAGCAAGGATATGATTCTAAGGGTGAGAAAATAGATAATCTACAAACAGATTTTATGTACTCTCTTCCCCTGCATTATATTGGACTGATCTTGTGGTCCATACATTATCTCAGTCATTTTTAGCTTCTTTTACTTTTTTGGGCCTATTGTCATTTTTAGCTATTGGTAGATCCAGTGTGCTTTTGATCATGAATCTGGATTGGTGCTTAATTTTATTGTGAATTTGATTGGCTTTCACTTGATTGTGTTGCTTTTTTGCACAGTTTTCATTACTTTTGTTTGGGTTGAACCCAAAAATTCACCCCTCAAATAGGAATAGAGAATATATACACTCTAAAAAAAAAAAAATTATCCCTTTAAATCATTGATCAAAATAAATGACTTCAAATTTAACAGCTAAAGTCATTACACATCAAGAATCCATTTGCTACTTAGGCCCATTTTTAATTGAAAGCTGACAAGTGATGTTAAATAATGGGTTATTTGTCTTAATTAAAGATTTGAAAAGACAATTTATTTTATTTTTTTTTGAAAGGTAGATCTATCTTTACTCCTTCTTTGAAAGGTAGATTTTAGGTTAAATGCTAGATTTGGTCCCTCAACTATAGTGGTTTGCACATTTTTGGTCCCTTAACAATTTTTTGCACTTTTTTTATCCCTTAACTATACGAAATGCACTCCGTTAGTCCTTCTGTCAATTT